CTGTGTGTATATTATATGTGTATATATATGTACGTAGGTAGACGCGGGACGAAGGGGGAACGTGTAGACCGACTCGAGAGCACTTCCACGCTGATGGAATTTTCATTGCGGCTCCGCTGCACAGACGCGCTCTCTCTCTCTGTACAGAATATACATTTTATGCCGAATCAAATTACTTTGACGCGCTTCCAGTCTCCTGTGCGAGAGGTTTTTTTTTTTTTTTGGAGGGTAATTTTCGTAATAATTTCGAGCAACGCTAATTATGTACACGCAGAGATGACTGTTAATTGGGTTGTGGGCCATTTTTAAGAGACGCGATCATTAAAAAAGACCGAGCGGCCTGTGGATGTGTTTTACGGGAAGAGGAATGATTTTTTGGAAACACAGTGACAAAGGGTGGGGGGGATCGAAGCGGGCGATGAATCAAATTTTCCGTACGCAAATTAGCCGAGGGGCCCTGAGTCGGCAAACTGATGGCGCCAATTAATTTGCAGAGAGCACGTGTGTGGATTCGCTGCATGAAAAATTGGGCACAAATAACACATCCTTTGCGCGAGGTGCGAGTGCAGTGTTTGTTGATGCTCCAATTAGGGGGGGGGAGAGGCAAAAGTGATGAGAAAATTAAATTTCAACGGGGCTAATTTATCTACGCCCCGCCCGAGAGATGAGGAAAACGGTGATGTCCCAACCCTGCGGGGACAAGCGTCCATTTTTGACGAATCTTGCGGTTGCTTTTCCTAGCGGACACTATGCTCGCTGATTGTGCCATCGAACCCCTTGTAAGAACCGTTACCACCTAAACTCGCTAAGAAATGGTCAACATTTTATGAGCCCATTTACTCGTGTACGAAAACGAGTTTCTAGCCAGCTTATGTAATAATTTTCTACCAGGGATGGGGGATGAAAAAAAGGTAACAAAGTTTACTTAAATACTCAGCTATACCAGTTTTTTTTTTTTTTTTAATTTTCCAATCCATAAGCGTCAGAATGTGTTACGAGCCGAGGTACTACTTAATGAAAGAGAGAAAAAAAAAACTGTGCATAGCGAAGCAAGAGCGCGGTTGGTAAATGTGGAGCTGAGCGATATTACCCTGATAAATTTTCCTGGTATGTGTGTGTGTGTATTATTAAGCGGCCGAAGGAATAATTCAGCGCCGGGCGTCGTAAAGCTGTCCGTTCGCGCGCGTAGGACTTTCGCGGCAGTTCCGCCGTGCCCCCCCTCGAGGCTTTGGACTTTCTGTCGCGTTTTCGAGCATTACCAACTTATTCCACCCCCACTCCGTGGGCATTTTTTAACGCACGTCCGTAAAGGTAAGTTTTAAGCTATCTTTTTTTTTTTTTTTTTTTTTTTTTTCTCCACCGCACAGTGTATCCCCATTTTCAAATCTTCGGCGCCGAGACCCCGAGCAGTGTTCGTCCGTCGCGGTGAGTTCCGGCAGGGCTGGCACGTACCTTACCTACTTATTTCCGATCGCGCGCGGCTCCGCTGCTCACCCCCAAGCTTTTAGACCGACGAGACGGTCCCCGGGCAGCTCGTATTTTTTCCATTTTCACGGAGGGGATACTCTCTCCTTAGGAACTGCAACCTGATGGTACACACACACGCTATACACGGAGCACGAACTTTCGCAATAAATTGTTATTACGAGTACATGTATGTATATGGACACGGATAGCCGAGTTTTGTCGCGGGGCGTCGCCGATAAAGTGATGGGTGCACTCGAGGCTTCGGGCAAACTTGCGTAAATGCAAGCTATACGAGTGCGCGACCGGTATGCGTGTATATACATATATATTATTACGTATACCCGTAACACGCGTCTGTCGGAGTGATTTCTTCCACTTCGACGCACCGCGAGTGCGCCTCGTTATCTCGTTTCACCCGTGATTAACTGCGCTTCCGAGATAATTCCCTACGTTACTTGGTTCCCATTTGTTTGCACCGCTTGTACGGAAGAAGAGCCACTCTGTATAGTACGTATAGTCGATGGAAAGTTGAACATACAGATGGGGGAAATATGAGTACTAAAGGGGGGGGGGCACTCGAAAATCCATATAATACCCACCGAGTTAGCCGATGCTGATAATTGAGAGAAAATTATTGTGCTTGTTTCCAGTTCGCCTGCGCTTGTGCGCCGAAGCGAGCTATTCTTATCTCTGGCGTGAAATATTTATATACCTACCTACGGGGTGCTCGACCAAAGGTAATCGGGACGAAAAGTTGGCCCGGACTCGGATAAGTACCATCAGGAGTTTTTTTTTTTTAAATTGTACAAATGTACATAGTTTTACCGATTCATTAGAAACAAAATGATGGTGTTACATTATGTACATGGGTATACATAACATTGTATTTTTGGGCCCTTGATTTCTTACTACTGTCTATGTATAGGCGCGTCGTTGAGATTCATCGGTGATCTATTAGTGGCGAGATATTGTATCGTCGGCAATGGTGCAGCCCGCGTGAAATGAAAGATATCCGAACTAAATTCACCGCGCAATCTTGCGGGTGGAAAAAATGGAGTAAAAATGGGGGAAATAAAAAAAAAAAAAAATGGATCGGACGAACCCATTTCCGGGCGCCAATGTATATATATGTATGGGTGATTCAATATATTTTTCGCGCGGTGGACGTAAGATTAACCAGCAGTATATTTCAGTTCTCCTGTATCCAGGGTGTCCTGTATACCCCTTCGACCGCGGGCGAACTGGAGCTCGGGAAAATCGGGGGAAAAAAAACGATGATACAAATGACCGCGATAAAAATGGCGCCAATAGGACACGCCCGGGCTCGCGTAAAAAACAACGAGCTCCCCGTGGGTGTGCGCGCGTGGGCGGGTCGGTATTTTAGGAACGACGCGGGAAAACACGTCCGAGGAAATTCGCGAAAAATCCGTGCTTCTCGGCCTTTCATTTTATTCCAAACGACCGCGATTCTTATCCAGGTGTGTCCTGGATGCGAAAACTTTTGTGCTCTTCCGCTGCTGCTTTGAAAGTGGGGGTGTGTTTGTTTTGCATTTAGAGAGAGGTCGCGAGAGATAATAATCGCCGAGTGGAAGGGGGAAAGAGAGATGGGCCTACGGAGCTTTTGCCTCGTGGCCCCGAAAAAATGCTGCTCACGATAGTGCTGCTGAAAAAAAAATTGGGGATTTTTGCGAGGATTACTTTTGGAGTAGCTTTGTATACGCCAAGGCTCCGGGAAATAACGTGAAAATCATTACGCGTCGAGCGTTGAAGTAGTGTGTGCAGGTGAAAAACTTTGAGCCTCATTTATTTGTTTACTGGTCTATTTCACCAACAAATGGGCATAAAAACTTTCTTACAATTTTTATTATTGGTATCTTCGATCTTGGTAAGAGCCTCGCAAAGTAAAAAATTTTATCGTTATTTTGTTGAGTTGCATATCAGCATTTCCTTCCGAGTTCCAAACGATGCTAAATAATGTTGAAAAAAAAAAAATTATAAACGACTTCATAATAACTAAAAACTTGAAAAACAACGAAAAAATGTGACAGTAGAAATTTTTTGAATACAAGAAAACATTTTCTAGAATGGTTTCAAGTGGATAATTTCTTGAATTAAGATTATACTCTTTTGCTGTACGAAAATATTAATTTCAAACAGGACAAAATTTTTGTTATTTAAAATAGTATCTTATTTGAAGAGAATTTTATTTATTTACTTAAACTTTTTTTTTCTATCAGATTTTTTTTCTTTTGATTATTTAAACTTTTATTACATTACGTACTTGATATACATTATACTAATGTGAGCTACGTGACTTTAGTTTCAGTAAATTAACTGAAACACATTTAAACTCTAATCATTATTTATTTGTGCTGTGGTGAAGTAAAAGCTTTTGTAACGAAAAAAAAAAAAAAAAAAATCGTATTAAATGTTGAAATAAAGTTGCGTTAGAAAATTCAAAATAATTTTAACAGCTTTGTTTAAAATATTTTAATATCGTTTAAATGTAAATTGTTTCCACATATACTGCTTCCGACGGTTGAAATTATCAACAGCCTCTAACAAAGTTTAGTGATAATCACGCATTTTGTCGCCGGAAATGAGTTTCATAGAGATTTACTGAAATCGATGAATTTAATATCAGTGCTGATAGATTTTTTAAACTATCACTTTATAAAGTCTAAGAAATTTTTGTGTAGCATGCTACATTTGTCTTCTCTTACAAAAAAAAAAAAAAAAAAAAAAAAAATTAAAAAAAATATGCCAGTGTAATTGCGTCAATAATCTCCTCATTTACACGTTTGTACCAAGGATAATTTATATTCCAGATACGAAAATACGATTGTATATGGATGTTCTTCGGCGCCGAGACCCCGAGCAGTGTTCGTCCGTCGCGGTGAGTTCCGGCAGGGCTGGCACGTACCTTACCTACTTATTTCCGATCGCGCGCGGCTCCGCTGCTCACCCCCAAGCTTTTAGACCGACGAGACGGTCCCCGGGCAGCTCGTATTTTTTCCATTTTCACGGAGGGGATACTCTCTCCTTAGGAACTGCAACCTGATGGTACACACACACGCTATACACGGAGCACGAACTTTCGCAATAAATTGTTATTACGAGTACATGTATGTATATGGACACGGATAGCCGAGTTTTGTCGCGGGGCGTCGCCGATAAAGTGATGGGTGCACTCGAGGCTTCGGGCAAACTTGCGTAAATGCAAGCTANAAGACTTAGTTTTTGCTTATATTGAAAAAAAAATTTTTAACTTTGCACTAATTTATTAAAATGAATTAAATTAAAATTGTTCTTCACTATTATACTGAATTTTTGCTTTTTTGTTGATACTTCTATTTTAAATTTGATTTTTGCCTGACAAAAATTTCGGTTATTCCAAAGTCGATTACTGTGAATATCGATTAAAATATCGATATCTCATAAATCGAGTATACAACTCTCGATTCGCGGCTCAAGACTCAAGTCTCGTGGACGTGTTTCTGCTTCTGATGTGTCAGTCGACTTGGCAACTTCAATAAAGATACACCTACTAGTACTCATTATTAATAAAATCAAACTAAATATTGAGTGTCGATCACTTGTAGCTATTGACTGATTATCAACCATTAGCATATTAAGGGAAATATTTACCTATCAAGATGAATAGTACAAGCTATGAAGACGGTACGAAAAACAGTGTGGATGTAAACAAAATAATTGAATTTATGCAGTACATCGGACGTCTAAAGGTATGCTATACAATTTTCGACTAATTAAAAAATAAAAAGCAAACATAAACAACTAACAGAATCTTTATTGGAGTATAGTACCTTAAAAGATGGTTCAGTAACTCCAAAAAATTTATTTGAAATTCATATTGTTATAATATGCATTTTACAGTACTATAATTTTTAAAATATAAGAGACTATTAGGTGGAAAAAATAACACACTACAAATTAATAGATTTATTTTAAAATGTTTTTATAATTCGTGCAGTCCTTTTTCAATTTTTTTAGGTTGGAAACCCAAACCATCATAGAGATTTCAACGAATTACCTTTGAAATAATTCGATGTACTTTTTACAATTATTAGCAGGATAATAATTAGTGTTAATAAAATAGTAGAGTAGAAAATTCTCGAATCGTAGATAACTTTTTTTTTTGTATTGTTCTAATTAAATTTAAGTCGTTAGAACAATTTATATTTATTCTCATAAATTTTTGGTTTCGAGCGAGAGTTTTGAACTGCATGTATCTCAAAAATTCCAAATTTTTCTGAAAATTCAACAAAGACAATGCTTCGTTATCATTTATTTTTTCAAAGCTCACTAGCGTCAAGATCGAGTTTAGATGCTAGTCCGCGGTAGCGTTACGATAGTTGTTAAGTCATAAATATCTCTAGGCTAAATAACGCTATATCGCCTTGGCTAGATACAGTTAAGAAAGAAAAGAAGATTGAGTATGTTTAGCCGTTGCTTTCGTTCGTAGTTAATTATACGCAGAAGGAAAATAATTAGATTAAGTTTTTTCTGACAATATTTTAAAATGCTCATTTATAGCTAATGTAAACACTGTTCCTTGCTTATTTTGTTTTTTAAATTATTATTTTACACTAACACATTTAGAAAACTATACCCTCAGTCTAAAGATAATCGAAGATTGTATCGATAATGATGTATAATTGGTATCTTCGATCTTGGTAAGAGCCTCGCAAAGTAAAAAATTTTATCGTTATTTTGTTGAGTTGCATATCAGCATTTCCTTCCGAGTTCCAAACGATGCTAAATAATGTTGAAAAAAAAAAAATTATAAACGACTTCATAATAACTAAAAACTTGAAAAACAACGAAAAAATGTGACAGTAGAAATTTTTTGAATACAAGAAAACATTTTCTAGAATGGTTTCAAGTGGATAATTTCTTGAATTAAGATTATACTCTTTTGCTGTACGAAAATATTAATTTCAAACAGGACAAAATTTTTGTTATTTAAAATAGTATCTTATTTGAAGAGAATTTTATTTATTTACTTAAACTTTTTTTTTCTATCAGATTTTTTTTCTTTTGATTATTTAAACTTTTATTACATTACGTACTTGATATACATTATACTAATGTGAGCTACGTGACTTTAGTTTCAGTAAATTAACTGAAACACATTTAAACTCTAATCATTATTTATTTGTGCTGTGGTGAAGTAAAAGCTTTTGTAACGAAAAAAAAAAAAAAAAAAAAAAAAAATTTTCAGCCGGATCTAGTCCTTACACCAACGTCACGCGATTTAACCCACCCGACACTGCCAAGCCGCCTGTAATAAGCGCAATAGACCAACGCGTTTCGTCGGCTAAAATGNATTATGTCCGGACTATAAACTTTTCTTACGAAAAACACTCACTAGTAAGTGTAGTTTAAGTAATCGGTAACGTTTACGAAACAATGTCATGTTTTTAAATAGTGATACCTACTTATTTGGGTACATACTCGATATACATTAGTTGTTTACATACTCGATAAACATTAAACATCGCTTTGCTAAAGGTTGGTCTTGACAAAAAAAATTGTTGAAAAATCATCAACTTTCATTAGTTTCAATACATAGCATTTCAAACCCTAAGCGTGAGAGTTACAAGCCATAGCCCATGCCGCATTGGACGCTTTCGAAGATAAACCTTAGCCATGAATCTCCTGCAGTAGAAACGGGCTCTCGCCACTTGTCCCTGTCGTATATTAAGCAGATGCAAGAAATCACATTTCCCTACTTGGCGCACATATAATTCGTTTTTACGCTACGATAGCATTATCCTCGTAGAAGAAAAAATAGAAAGACCGTACCCAGTCACTATGTATAACAAAAGCTCAAAAAGGCGTGAGCACAGTTAGTTGGCCGCGCAGAAGGATTTTCCGCCCGAGAGTGCACACGTACATATGGAGTTGGCGCTTTTGAACTAGCCTCGGCAAAAGCACCGACCCAACAGCATCAGCGGCATCCTTAGGGGGTAAGCTCGGGCATTTGCTCTTTGCAATCCTCACTCCTCGTCCATACACGTAGGTGTACAGTTTGATGCACGGAAGTGTATTATGGAGAGGTGAGTCGAGGGAGTTGCTTTATCGAGGCCATTAGGAATGCACTCCACACGCGGGCATCCAAAACGTGTGAAGACTTCATGCGTGTACGATGTGGTAAAAAGTTAAAAACTGGTAAGAAAAATAATTAGACCTTTTTTTTTTTTTATTCAAAATATAGAGCTCAATGAGTCAGACTTCAAGATAAAAAAGATATATAGGTGTTGGATGTTTGCGAGATACGATTCAGTAGGATAATAAATCAGATGTCCCAAGGATAGTTAGTGCCGGATCCAGGAGACACCTGGCGAGCAATTGTGTGCTCAAAAGCCTTGGCGACAGTGCACCGCCCGCCAAGTGTAATAATAAAGTCGCGTGCTCGCGATTATCATAACGGGACGCGAGCTTTCGCCAAGTTCGAGAGTAGAGAGAGAGGATAATCGGATTGCCCATCGTCTCGCTTTCTGCATCGATCCCCGGAGGGTGTAGTATATGCACCCTCCCCCGTGTTTGCGTCTAATGTTCGCGCCGTCCGAGTACAAAAGATACAAAAAATGATTTCTTGTCGTTTTTCCTTTGGCTTTGAAATGTCAAAAATAAAAACTTATTTTACCCTTACATATATAACAATTTACTCAATAAAATATGTTTATACTGCCGAAACAATACATTTTAACGATTACTGGACGAGTAAAAAACTTGAGTTCAGTCCAACATGTTCTTCAATGATGTTACATGTCAACCACAACCGAAAATTATTATTTGTTACGCGAAATATTTGATGGCCTCAAAATATTGCATTTATCTGGTTTTAGCACATTAAGAGGACTGGTTGGGTGAGGAAAAATATTCCCGACCCGGAAACCATTTCAGGACATATGTACCGAATGGCAATGCTTTCCTTCCTAGTTGACCCCAAGAAGAATTTAAATAAATCAAAGTTAGTCCTCAGATTATTTTTTTGTAACTTAAAACCCTTTTATTTATATTTTTTTATATGTTTGAACTTTTCCATTGATTTTTTTTTTTGTTTTTTGATTTTTTTTTTTTTTTTTCATGTAGATTAATTGAAATGGCTTTAGTCCATGATTTAGCCGAATGCATAGTTGGAGATATAACTCCTTTTTGCGGAATTTCACCAGAAGATAAGCATAAAATGGAAAAGGAGGCAATGAACGAGATCTGTAAAGATCTTGGAGAAAGGGGCAAAGAAATCCTAAATATTTTCGTGGTAAACATAATCATCAATCACCTAAATTTTTAATTAACAATGCTTTTTAACTTCGAATTGAATAATGCATGTATTACTCATAAATTCGTCCTAGGAATATGAAGAACGCCAATCTCCAGAAGCCCGATACGTTAAGGACCTTGATAGGGTTGATTTTCTAATGCAAGCGTTTGAGTATGAGGAACGTGGAAACAAACCAGGCCAATTGCAAGAGTTTTTCGATAACTGCAAGGAAAAACTACAAGATCCTTTGCTTAGTGATGTCGTCGAGGAGATCAAATGTCGAAGGAAAGCATTAAAACTGAAAAAAACTAACAATAACAGCTACGTATTTGTGAGCGTTGCTGTATTATTCATTACAATAGGGGCAGGTTTATTATTCAAGCTTATAAACATGTTTACGAATGGACCCGTACTCAATTTTAATTATTAAAAAAAAAAAAACTAATGTACATTAAAACGCGTGCGTGCACCCTCAAAAGCGACAAGGTACGAGAGCCACTGATGCAACCGCAGTATACGTGGTGCCAAGTTGCTTTGCAACTTCCTGAGACTCGAGGCTTGCCCTAGAGGAGATGCTGCACCCAAATAAAATATGTGGTTTTCGTCATTCAAGCGTCATATTTACCGGGGCTTCCCCTAAGCCTGAGGATTTTTGGACAGCCCCGGCTGGATTGCGCTCGTGAGGCGAAGACTTACTCCAGGGCACAGCAAAATTTAAAATTTCAAAAAAAATAGTTAAAACGCCCAACGAGGAAAAATACTTGTTTCTTGTTTTTCCATAGATTTGATAATCAGATTAAAAAAAAACCTTTTAAAACTTAAAACTAGATTATGACTAGTTGCCGACATATTGTGGTAACATTTTAATGATGTAGAACCAATGCAATATTATTTGTACTCAAAACTGTACTTTTTTATGTTGTAAAAATAGTAAAAATAATATAATAGATAATAAAAAATGTGAGGCGTCGTCAAAAAAAAAAAGAGAATTTTATTATTGATATTTATTGCCAAAGAAAACAGAACGCATCAAGACTTTTGCGCAAGTCAATATATTTTAATTCAATTTTTACGTAAATGAATGATTATTAATTTATTGTAGTACACTTAGTAAACTCCGAATTCTTAAAAGGTCTTACTTGTCAAATATAGCTATTTTTATATACGTAAATTTTATGGAAAATAAAGTATAACATTGTACGATATCTTTAACATTGTTTTATTTTAAATTTTAAGTATACCTGATTCCGTTGTTATAACCATAGTTATTATGTCCGGACTATAAACTTTTCTTACGAAAAACACTCACTAGTAAGTGTAGTTTAAGTAATCGGTAACGTTTACGAAACAATGTCATGTTTTTAAATAGTGATACCTACTTATTTGGGTACATACTCGATATACATTAGTTGTTTACATACTCGATAAACATTAAACATCGCTTTGCTAAAGGTTGGTCTTGACAAAAAAAATTGTTGAAAAATCATCAACTTTCATTAGTTTCAATACATAGCATTTCAAACCCTAAGCGTGAGAGTTACAAGCCATAGCCCATGCCGCATTGGACGCTTTCGAAGATAAACCTTAGCCATGAATCTCCTGCAGTAGAAACGGGCTCTCGCCACTTGTCCCTGTCGTATATTAAGCAGATGCAAGAAATCACATTTCCCTACTTGGCGCACATATAATTCGTTTTTACGCTACGATAGCATTATCCTCGTAGAAGAAAAAATAGAAAGACCGTACCCAGTCACTATGTATAACAAAAGCTCAAAAAGGCGTGAGCACAGTTAGTTGGCCGCGCAGAAGGATTTTCCGCCCGAGAGTGCACACGTACATATGGAGTTGGCGCTTTTGAACTAGCCTCGGCAAAAGCACCGACCCAACAGCATCAGCGGCATCCTTAGGGGGTAAGCTCGGGCATTTGCTCTTTGCAATCCTCACTCCTCGTCCATACACGTAGGTGTACAGTTTGATGCACGGAAGTGTATTATGGAGAGGTGAGTCGAGGGAGTTGCTTTATCGAGGCCATTAGGAATGCACTCCACACGCGGGCATCCAAAACGTGTGAAGACTTCATGCGTGTACGATGTGGTAAAAAGTTAAAAACTGGTAAGAAAAATAATTAGACCTTTTTTTTTTTTTATTCAAAATATAGAGCTCAATGAGTCAGACTTCAAGATAAAAAAGATATATAGGTGTTGGATGTTTGCGAGATACGATTCAGTAGGATAATAAATCAGATGTCCCAAGGATAGTTAGTGCCGGATCCAGGAGACACCTGGCGAGCAATTGTGTGCTCAAAAGCCTTGGCGACAGTGCACCGCCCGCCAAGTGTAATAATAAAGTCGCGTGCTCGCGATTATCATAACGGGACGCGAGCTTTCGCCAAGTTCGAGAGTAGAGAGAGAGGATAATCGGATTGCCCATCGTCTCGCTTTCTGCATCGATCCCCGGAGGGTGTAGTATATGCACCCTCCCCCGTGTTTGCGTCTAATGTTCGCGCCGTCCGTGATTGGCCCCCTATCGCAGCTCGGACAAATGCCGGCGTTTGATTACACCGGACTCGGGTGTATATATAANAAAAAAAAAAAAAAGAAATGTAATCGAGTCGTACCGTTTTCTTTGAAGACACGAGCATATGAAAAAACCCCTGGAGGTTGTTGGGCGATCGATTAGGAAAAGTGTGCAGGATAAAATCTCGCTTGTTTGGCGATGATTCCAAAAAAAAAAAAGAAAGGGAAAAAAAGGGGAGCGGAGAGGAAAACAGTACAGACTAAAGCGATCCCTCAGAGAGAGAGAGGGCAATATTTACCCTTTCGGACATCCAGACGCGAGAGCGCGTGCACGAGGGATACGTGTAGTTTGAAGAGCGCGTTCTTTTCACGCACTCGAGAACCTACACGTGTATACGTACAGTATACACACAGGTTATGAGGGGAAAGGGGTGGGGGTGGGGGATCACGCGATGAGCTTTCGCCAGGATAAAAGAGCCCCAAGGGAGGAGGAGGAGGAGGAGGATGAGAAAGGCCATTACGCGCGAGAAGAGCGAAGCAAACACGAAGTACAGCGGCCCACCAGGGTTATAAAAACAAAGGAGAGAAATTACAAGGGACAGGAGCTGGGATGGGTACGGGTGAGTGGGCTGCTCGGTGCACCTACGCGGGAACGAAGGACGGGAAGGGAGAGAGGGGGGAGATTAGACGGGGCTGAATGGGCTAAACTTTAATCGAAAGTAGAGAGAGGAGAAGTCGTGTAGGGCTACCTACGTGTGTATATATATGTACGTGGCTGGTATCACGCGTAATAAGAGCGGGGCGGAGAAAGAAAGCTCTAGCCGCGCACGCGAGAGGGTATGGAAGAGGGGGGGGGTGTGGCCAATCGTTGCGGCACGAGCAAAGTACAGCTTGCCCTTTTTTTCCTCTCATTCTTATATATATTTATATGTATGTGCACCTCTCGCGATAATTTGAAAGTGAGCCCGATTGAGAAATTGCGGGTAATGTAGCGTGCCATTTCCTATATGCATATAAGATTGCAATGAGTTGTTTTGAAAATAATTGGGACCTTTTTTCCCCTTTTCTTATTCTTGGGGGGTTTTTTTCTTCCTTCTCTTTTCCGCGCTGTATAGGTACAAATAACAATCGATGCTCGAGCTACAGTGCCAAGAAAATCGAATCGGCGGAGCTCTGTTTACCCGCGGGTGTTTGCACCAGCGAAAGGATCGCGCGAATTGCAATCGACTGCGTTGGATACGGAAATAATTTTGAATCCACGAAGGAAGCCACGTGGAAATTCGCCAAAAAAAATCGATGAGTACTCTCTGAGACAAAGAGAAAAAAAAAAAAAAATTTCCAAGACGTAGCAGAGCTTACATTATGCGGGAAGGAAAAAATTTTCTAGGCAGATAGGAAGCATCGAGGGAAGGGGCAAACGTATACACACGCGGCAAATTCGATTTCCGAGCGTATAGAGCAGCTTCGACAAACTATACTGGCTAGCCGACTTTAACTCCCGCCAACACACCCACGGCACAGAAAAGCCCTCCTAGCAGCGCTACATACATACGTACCCATTCGCGAAGCGCGTACATATATACGTATTCATGCATGTTGAATGTTGACCGGTAGTGTATGTTTATGTAGTTGGTGGCAAAACTATCGGAATGTGAACGTCAGGCGCGTACACCTACGTGGACCCCCTCTCATTGACTCAAACTTCTCAACTCCCCCCTGGTGGCTTTTTCAGCCACAAGCAGCGGCTCTCGCCCAAACTGCACATCGCGTATTCCACCGGTACATATATATGCATACGCTGACACGTAAGTGTATGTGTATGTACACCCCCAGAGCGTGTAGTAGCTGCTTGGAATTTGTCGTGGCAGCGGCATCCGGGCACCCGCTGCGCTCTTATTTTTCTTGCAGTTTCGCCTCGGAAGTGTATTACACGGGGACCGGGGGGGGGGGGTGGGAAGCGCTACACTGGCTGCCCGGAAACTAGAGTCCGCTCCTAATTCCCTTCCGTTCGTTTCCTCGCCGTCGTCGCACGTACGGACGACTGAAAGGAAGGACGGGGTCGTGAGATATTTTTTTTTTTTTTTTTCGAAATTCGCCGTCTCCACGCTGAATTACGGCCCTGGGTGAGTATGGTCCAACAGCTCGAGGTGCTGTGGTGTTTATGGATGAAAGTGCCGTTTTTTTTTTTTAGAATTTCGCAATGGTCGCGAGAGGAATTTTGTTACGCGAGAAAAAAGAGGGAGGAATTTCATGCGAATCACGCGCGTGGGGGTTTAAAAAGAAACAAAAACCCGCGGGGCATCAGCGGGGCCATTATGAAAAATTATCAACGCTACATCGAGTCGCGACGTTTTAATGCGCCGGCAACGTTTCCGCGGCTGAAATTGAAATATGGGCGCGCATAAATTTACGCGGCACCTACAGTTATTTTTATTTATTTTTTTCTTTCAAGAGCCTTGTCGTAACGTTCCTGAATATATCTAAAACAGCATACACACAGGTATGAGTGTCCTTCCTTGTTGGTTGGGTTGCATATAATAAAATCCATACACGTATATATGAATAACTTTAAATTACGTAATATGTGGTAATATGTGACATTGTAAACAGATAAATAAACAAACAAAGTAAATAATTGTTGTGTGCTTCGATGGGCGTTCGTGTGTATGCTTATGTTCATTGAAGCGGGTGTACTGAAACGACCAATCCATCATACACCAGCAAAGCTCAAGGAATCGTGTACAGGGATCGAGCTATCGTGGGGGGGGGGTGGACAAGATAGTGTAAGAGGGATAACATACGTGGAGGATGTACGTGTATGTAGCATGTAGTTGTGGGTGTCGTGTCGGGGTGGATCCGAGGCTGCTTACCTGGGGCTTGCTGGCTATGTAGCTGCTGGTGAACTGTTGAAGCCGGCTGGTCATCGTCTTTGCGTCGGGGTGTACGGGCCGGTCTTGCTGCAGCTGATGCTGATTCTCGTCGAAGAGGCTC